GTTCTTTAATTCTTCCTCCCCACCATTATCATGATCCCAATTCTACCTTATAAATCTGGCTAGACCAGAGGATGTACACTGGTACAGATAGGAACAGGAAACAGAGAATCCAGGACAGATAAACTCCTTAGGACTAATAATTAGAGTAGCAATACTAGGAGGGTAGGGAGGGAAGGGAAAAATGAGGAGGTGATGATACCAAGGGCTCAAGTAGAAAGAAAATGTTTTGTATACCAGATGCCAGTCCCCTTCTCCCCCCTTAAAACCAACCCACCGCCAACCAGTTGATTCTGTCTCATAGCAACGGTGTAGAACAGACTAGAACCGTATCTTTCTCTAATGGAGAGACTGCGGAGTTTAAATGCTGACCGGACAGTGAACAGCTCAAAGCTTAACCCATTACACCACCGGAGTACGAGACTACCATCTCTCGCTCTGCTCTTGAGTCAATTCTGACTCATAACAACCCTCTAGAATGGAGTAGAACTGCCCTTTGGGTTCCTGAGACTGGACCTCTTTATAAGAGCAGAAAGCCTCCTCATTGAGGAGCTGCTACCAAGGGCTCAAGTAGAAAGAAAATGTTTTGAAAAAGATGATGTCAACATATGTACAGCTGTGTTTGACACAATGGATGGATGTATAGATTGTGATAAGAGCTGTACGAGCCCCCAATAAAATGAAAAATAAAAGTAAAAAAAGAAGAGAAAACCACGTCTTTCCCCAGAGGAGCCACTGGTGGGTTCAAACTGCTGACTGTATGCCCAATGCATAACCACTGCAATAATAATAGCAAAATAGATCTAGCTTCTGGCAACTTGGAGGCAATGTACTTCTCTTTGCAAACGTCCTAGATGGCCAGAATCTGTGAGGGGTAGCCTTAAAGAATGTTGACATTGTGGAAAACAAATTCCATCACAACTGGTTTCTCGTTGAAACCAGCTGACACATACCCCCCGCCCCCCAAAACCCAGAATGTGAGATGGCCCAGGGAGTGGAAGCGGGAGATGCTGCACAGTGGTGGTACTTGCCACTGTCTGTGACGGTCGATACATTTTGACACGGGAGATCAAGAGAATCTTAGAAATAATCTAGAATCATGGTACCCAAATGCTTCTTTTCCCCCCATTCGAAATGTAACACAGAACCCCAATATACCAAAATGGGACTAAAGAGACCTCATTTCAACTACCTTGTGCTCCTTCGCTCCCCTCTTCCCAAGGCTGCCTTGAGCCACATCTCCTGAACTCAGATGTTCTGGTCTAGTGACTGCCAACAGGAGAAAACCATGCTCCCTTTTAAAGAACTGCACTCTCGCATGCCCTACTCTGACTCTGACTACAGTGCTAACTCAAGTCTACACCGACATTATTACAGAGGCACATTTGTTGTGGTCGTAGCTCTTGAGCGATTATATAAATAAAACAAATTCACAAATTCAATACAACCAAGACCACCAAACCAATGAAATTTAGTTGAAAAGCATTCATTTATTAGCCACATGGTGCTGTTTTCCTCAAGCTGCACTGGTATTGGGCACATGGATATGATAATGACTTTCAGGAGGAAGGTTTTTTATTGTTAGACATGAGTCTGTGTGTGTGTGTGTGTGTGTGTGTGTTAAAGAGAAAAAGGAAACTCAGTCTCCCCCCCCCCCTTCCTTTCTGTATTAAAAATACTGGGGCTCCATGACAGCAGGTGCTGTTCACTGCCTGGGAATGTGGTCGAGCTCGCGCCCAGTCTCCCTGGACACCCCATGGAAATGAAGAGTGGCCCGATGCCGCTGAGGCGCTAAGTATGCACAACCCACAGCTCTCGCTTGTGAGAGCCACAGCTGAGGGGTTCAGACAAATGCCTACATGAGTTTCCAACAGCACGGAGACTCCCCCACTACAGAAAAAAGCAAATGTGGCAATAGGTCAGTAATTAATGAGTCCAAATGAAGCATACATGGATGCTCTTTTCAGATTCTTGAACTTTTCTGTGAGTTTAACTTTTTTTTTTCAATTCCTGTATATACTCATGTATAAGCTGAGTTTTTCAGATATTTTAAATGCAGTTTTTGTGGTGAAATTAGGTGCCTCGACTGATATTTGGGTCAGCTTATACTTGAGTATATTCGGTAAAAAGGTGAAGGGGGTCAACATAGCTCAGCTTGGCCCTGGCTGCACCTTTCTCTCTGTTCACTGCTCCATGCCGGTATGTTGTCCTCAAGGCTTGGCACAATGGGATGGGATCTGGTCCCTCTCTCCCTTGCCTGTGGAGACATAAACAATACTCTCCCCGCCCTAGAAGAAGACAATACAGAAGACAGCGCTGAAGATATAGCCCGGGTAGAGTGGCAAGCCCCAGGGGATGACATCCCTGCTCAGAGCAGCCAATGAACAGAGGGGACAATAGGGTCTACCTCACACCAAGACATGAAGGTTCCTCATTGACCCGTAGTGCTGCAGGGGCAGCACTGGAGACACTGTGCAGAAAGTGTGCCCAGTCTGCCCCATGCACAGTGGGGTGAACCGCGAAGGGAGTGCAAGAGGGCAGCAAGGGGAGCAAAGTAACCAAGTCCCCAGGGAATCTTGAAAATCGACTTCTGACTCAGGGGACAGGACTTGGCACCTCATCAGATCTGACTGGAAACCGCTCATAAGCATCAGCAGACAGACTTGGAACTATCTATCAGGTTTTTCTTTTTCTGTTTTACTTTCGCCTTTTGTCTATCTATATAAGATAGGCAGAACAAACAATTCCAAGGAGAAAACAAAGGGACCGGCAGTCCTGGGGAGACATGGGAGAGGAGAGGGTGGGGAGGGGGAGTGGGGAGCCAACAAACTCAGGGATAAGGGAACAATAAGAGGTTTAAAGTTGATGGTGAGCAGGGAATATAATACCTGATGGGGTTTGATCAAGTGCAGTGTATCCAAGAGGAATTACTGAGAGTCGAATGGAGGATGAGCATGATAATGGGGCAGGAGGAAGGGGAAAGGAAATAGAGGAAAGAAGTTGGAGACAAAAGCTATTTATAGAGGTATAGCTACAGGCATGTATATATGTAAATATATTAATTTATAATGAAAGGGATAGTGGTCAATGTACATATACTTAATGTTAAGTATTAAGATAGCAAATGGACTTTGGGCCTCTACTCAAGGCCTCCCTAAACACAAGAACACTTTGTTCTAATCACCTGGCATTCACTTTCCCGCCACAATCGCTGAAGACAAAATGGGTGCATAAGCAAATGTGGTGAAGAAAGTAGATGGTGCCCAGCTATCAAAAGATATAGCATTTTGGGTCTTAAAGGCTTGAAGTTAAACAAGCAGCCATCTAGCAGGGAAGCAACAAAGCCCACATGGAAGAAGCACACCAGCCTGTGTTGATCATGAGGTGTTGATGGGAGCAGGTACCAGGTATCAAAAGATCCAAAATAAGCAATTATGGCAACATGAAAGAGGGGGTTGGAGTGAAGACCCAAAGCCCATCTGTAGACAATTGGACATCCTCCTACAGAAGTGTTACAAGGAAGGGAAGATTCAATCAGGGTGCAGTATAGCACCGATGAAACACACATCATTCCTCTAGTTCCTGAGGATGCCTCCTCCCCCCACTACCATGACCCAGTTCTGCCTTACGAATCCGGCTAGACTGGAGTACATACATTGGTACAGATAAGAGCTCTCAACACATAGAATCCAGGACAGATAAAACCCTCAGGAACAGTAGTGGGAGTAGCGATATAATGGAGGTAGGGGGATGGTGGGGATGGCGTGGGGGTGAGGGGGAGAACGTGGGAACCCATTACAAGGTTGGATATATAGCCCACTCCCCAGGGGGACAAATAACCAAAATGTGGGTGAAGGGAGACAGCGGACGGTGTAAGACACAAAATAACAACAATAATATATAATTGATTAAGGATTCACGAGGATGGGAGGGGAGGGAGGGGTAAAAAGAGAAGCTGATACCAAGCGCTCAAGTAGAAAGACAATGTTTTGTAAATGTCGATAGCAACATAAGTACAAGTGTGCTTAATATCATTGAATGATGGATTGTTATAAGATTTGTAAGAGCCCCCTCCAATAAAATGATTAATAATAGTAGTAATAAAAGGTAAAGGGGGAAGCAAAAAGCAAGAAATTATTCTAGAGAACCCGCAGCTCCCAATTTGAGGAACTCCAGATCTGAGAAACATTGAGCAACTCCAACCCTTCATTTTATAGATTAGAAAAGTGTAGTCCGGAGAAATGCGAGGACTTCTGGGTATTACAGTGCTAATCAGCAGACTCCAGAAGACTCCAGTCTCCTTGTCCAGGCTGTTCCTTACTGGGTTCTGCCCTATTCTGAGGAATTTCCTGGGATGTTACAATGTTCCCAGAGCATGAGTCAGCTGACATTTAGAAGATACCAGCTTGTACTCCCCAACACATCACAGTCCTATCAAAGGGTCTGCGTGGATGGAGAAGGGGCCAAGACGTCACTTTGCTATGAAGCATTTCATTCTGAGACGGAAGCACAAAACAAAAACCTCTTTGTTCTTTTACTTCGGCTCTCACTAAATCTTCCTTTAAGCTAGTATTAGTGGCTGCACTGACTGGGGGCAGAGCAGCCAGGGCGGTGGCAGGGGGGGGTGGCCGCTGGAGCATTACTTAGACCCTAGCTCTTGTCTACACCCTTCTGAAGGAGCCTTTCAGACTCTAAACTCTGCTTCTAGCCCTGTGCCCAAGCAGAGGGAGGGAAGCACCGTTCTTTTTTCTGTATTGTAATTTCCGTTCAGAAAAAGGGAGAGAATATAAAAGTTAGGGAAGGAAGGAAGAAGTATTTTAAAAGGATTGCAAATAAAGGACTTTCAAAATGAGAGTGTGAAATAAAGCGCACGGTATTTTTAAGAAATGCACATCATTTAAGTTATCTATTTCCAAAAGTGACAGAAATTGGGTTTCAGAGATAAATAACCGAATGACCAAAGCTGTGATTTGAGAAGAATTTGTGGAGCAGCTGAGCAAGTGCTGTCGTCTCCAGCCTCCTGAGAGGGTCAAATTCACAAGAAAAAGCCGGGTGGGAAAGCCAGTCCCATTTAATGTGAATCCACAGACACTGAGAAAATTAAATGCAAAGAGGGCTAGAGGGTTATTCAAAGAACACACCCCCATTACAGCAACGATACAGAACTGCAAATATATGGCAAATACACACTGCCCTTTGGTTTTCTATAAACAGTGAATGACTTCTGTAAGCTATAATCTAGTTCTTAAGAGTCTGCACTTAACGATGAATTTGTGGATGAACCCATCTGACTACAAACCTTAGAAGTTGCGCAATCTTTTCCACAAATGTTAGGTTCACGGTTCATTAGAAGGATCCTGGGTCCTGGGCCTGCAGCGCCAGCTCGCATCCTGGTGCCTTGGGAGTCTGGTGGTGGGAAACACAAGGCCACTGTCTGGACAATTGGGAAACAGAAGGGTACACTCTGCCTGGGTAATCTCACTCATTGTTTATGCTTCTGCTTCCCCTCCCTCAGGAGCGCAAAGAAAACCAGCATGGACCAGTGCAGCCAGAGGCTGGGAATCTGGAAATAATACCTCACCAGCAGAGCATCTGGATCGAATAGGAGGGTGTTTCTGGTGAGGGGTGACTCGATGCTCCTTGGCCCACGGCATTCATTCCTCATCCTCAATACTCCCTCAGAGGATGCCACTCAATTCACTGTCCATCTGCTGCAACTACATCTTCCCCCAAATCTACATCTCCAGTTAGATCGATCCTATGCACGTGCTTATATTGCATTGTGGGGTCCCAAAGCCAGCTCAGGCTCGACATGTCCCAAACCAAGTTCAAAAACTCCTCCGTTCCACATCCGTTCATCCTCTGTTGGAAGGCACCACTAAGCACATGCGAGTCATTTTGACTTTTCCTAACGCAGATAGGGCTTGACTCTCCCCCTTTCCCTATCTTTACTGCAACTGTTTCATCTACTCCTCTGGACCCCGTTGTATTAGCCTAGCCAGGTGCTCCTGCCTCTAACTTGTTCACCTCAACCCTATCCTTCAGTAGATAACAATGACCCACAGGAAACGAAGTCAATAAAAAGTTCTTCCAGACGGCAGCCAAGGCCTTGCCATCTGTGTTAGTGGATTAGTGTATCTGTGTACATTAGAGAAACAAATCCACAGAAACTCATGGATAAGAGTGAGTTTTATATAAAGTTTAAGTGAGCATCAAGAAAACAAGAAAAAAAATCAAGAAAAACTCCCAACCCAGTGCTGACCAAGCCCACATGTCCAACATTAACCCATATGTCCAACACCAATTCACAAAGTCCTCCTCCATCTCACAAAACACACACTATGATGCCGACTGCAGGAGGAAAGCTGAATCAGTGACCGTGTAAGCATCTCAGCGCTGGCAGGGGTCTCCACATGGGTGCTCCAGCACCCAGGGCTGCATCGGGGTAGGTCCTTGTGGCTTCTCCTCAGGGATGTCTTGCAGGAAGTGAGCCTTGCCAGCTAAAGCAGGGAACTGGCTAAGGCAGCTGCACCCTGGTCCGACCAACAGAAAACAGGAGACCCGAGAACTAAAACGGAGAGGCTCACTGAGCCATTTATCTCTCCATCCTTCAATTAACCCCGCATGTGTTTATCGGCCAGGTTGGCACAATAAACTTTAACTAACTCACCATCTTATTCCTACCTCTCCTTGGCTCAACTCCTAGGAAGCCAAATCCTGTTTCCCACCGACCATCGAGGTTGTTTTCAGGCTACATGTCTTTTTGCATACTTCGCCTTCCACCTGAACCGCCCTTCCTGAGTCCCGCTTGTCTGGTTAACATCCAAGGCCAGCCTGTCAGATGTATTCAAAGGTTTGCTTTTTCTGGAAGTGACTCTTGCTTTTTTGTGTTGGATTAAGTATGGCTCCTTTGTTCCACCTTAGCACCCCTGATTAATCTCTACCAGTCTATACATGTCTGTTTCACAATTATCTCTTTAAGTCTCGTTATACACTCTGCCCTTTAATGAACAGGGACTTTATATCTTTTTTCAATGAAAGCCAATAATGTTGGCTGACTAAATGCATACATGTTCTGGTCCTCAAGGAACTCTTTCCAAAACCAATATCCACAATTTGATCTATCCCTCCACCACATGGGCCCCGTGGATACTCTCTGAGGGGAGGGGAGGTGGCAGCATTACTATTTGCCACTTGGAGTTTACTTTACCGAACACACTAGATGGTTGATATTACAGGCCAAAGATCTGATTGGAAGTCTGGACTCTAGAAGTGGGATGGTCATTGTGGCTAGATGATGCTATGAACTGAATGCCCCTCTGGCTCCCAGTCTCCTCAGATAAACTCTGAATTCCCTCAGAATACAGAAATACCATTTGCTGAAGTAAAGTGCCCTTTCCAGGGATTAAAGAGTTCTGGAAAATAAGAAAAGCCCAGGCATTTGCTGTGGATACCCTCATTGTGATATCCCATTCCCTAGAGCACTGGTTCTCCATTATGGGTAATTTTGCACTCCCAGGGCATTTGGCAAAGCTGGAAACAGTTTGGACTTAATCATGACTAAGGAGGGGGTGGTACCACTGGCATCTAGTGGGTAGGGGTCAAGGGATACTACTAAACAGCTAACAATGCACAGGGCAGTCCCCACAACAAAGAATTACCCAGTCCAAAATGCCCGCACTTCTGAGGTTGAGACCTCGTGCCCTAGAGCCTTCGCCTCCGTCTTTCCCTCCTGGTTTATCAATCGGGCCTGTGACTCAGTGCAGGGCTCCATGTTCAGAACAGAACAGAAAAGCTATGTCTTCTGCAGACATGGGGAAAAGCCACAGACACCGGGCCCCTAGGTGTGTGTGTGTGTGTGTGTGTGTGTGTGTGTGTGTAGCAAAAGGGATTATGGCACTCACTTTTCCAGGTCTTACCCAGGCCTACTCTTGTCTAGACGCTCATATTCCAGTGTCTTCTGTCTTGGAAGAAGTACTAGAATGCTCCTTAGAGGCAAGGGTGGTGAGACTTCGTCTCATGTACTATGAACAGATTGTCAGGAGTGACCAGTCCCTAGAGGAGGACGTCATGCGTGGTAACGCCGTGGAGCGGCAAAGAGGAGATCTGCAATGACATGGAGAGACACCGTGGCTGCAACAACGGGCCAAGCATAAGAACAATTATGAGGATGGCGCAGGGCAGGGCCGTGTTTTGTTTCGGTACATAATTCAGAACCCATTGGACGGCACCTAACAACACATCAACAACTAAACGAGAGGGAGGTAGGCAAAGTTGATTCTTCGCAAAATTGGGAAGAAGTGAACATTACAATAGCCCACCTGCGCTTGCAGGGTCTCTAGTCTAGGGGAGCGGGAGCACGTCCATGGCCGCTTCCCCTCTGTTCACTGGAAATGTTCCCAGGGGACCTGCCAAGGATACTGAGACGTCCTGTTGGATTCCTTCCTTTTTAGTTCCATAGTTCTCGCCATTTGCACTGCACAGTGCTGAGCTATGTGGTGTGATGTTGTGCACGACAGTCCTATTGCTAATAGATTGCAGGCCCTTTGAGGTCCGTGCCTACCACAAACAACACTCACTCTGTTTAACCAAACAGAGATTGGTTAAAAAGGTCTTGGATTAGTTTTTACTTTCCAATGTCCACAGTTTGAAACCACTAGCCAGTCCCTGTGAGAAAGAAGAGGCTTTCTACTCCCGTAAACAATTACCCTCTCAGAGATCCACAAGGGCAGTTCTATCCGGTCCTATAGGGTTGCTAAGAGTCAGCATGGACTCAATGGCACTGAAATTGTTTTTGTTGTTGTTAAGAAGTTAATTAGCTAGTTATAAGAAACCAGCTCCTACTAATAAGTTAAGTCAGAACTATCAAGTTTATGGAATGATTCTTTCTTAGAAGCAATATTCCTCTTTCGATTTCAGCCATACCATATTATAGTACTTCTAACAATAGGAGTTCCAGACCTGCTAGCGGAAGATTGTATTGCAAAGTGGGAAGATGCTATGGGCCACCAAAAGTTGGGGGTCTACTTTCCATTTACCCTTGACTAAGATAAGAACCATGGAGTCTTGGTGGCACAGTGCATACGCATTGGGCTGCTAACCCCAAGATCAGCAGTTTGAAACCACCATCCACTCCACAGGAGAAAGATGAGGATTTGTACTCATAAAGACTTACAGTCTTAGAAACCCAAAGGGGTAGTTCTACCCTATCCTATAGGGTCACTATGAGTCTGAATTGACCAGATGGCTGTGAGAAGATGGGAACCAGATTGAGAAGAGGCGTGAAAAAGGGATGATCATTACGAATGTTAGGTGGAACATAGTTGACAGCAGTGACACACACACACAAACACACACATACACAAACGGGGGTACCCCCTCCCCACACCAGATTTTTATTTCCCAGCACTTTGTATTTAAATTTTTCTTACAAGACAAACTAATCACCTTCAACTTACTCTCCATTACACTTAATACAATTGTCAACTCTGTGATTTCATTCTGGGAAACATTTTTCCAACTCATCTGCTTGGGATGGTTGACAGCATCTTCCTTGTTTTTTTCTTCACTTCTTTTACGTCATCAAATTTCTGTCCTTTCATGACCCTCTTCATTTGTGGAAACAAAAAGAAGTCACACGGAACAAGGTCAGGTCAGTAAGGTGCGTGGGGCAAGAGAGGCATGCTGATTTTTGCCAAAAACTGGTGCTCTGAGATGGCTGCCTAAGCAGGTGCATTGTCATGGTGGCAAAATCAATTCCCCATCTGCCACAAATCAGGCCTTTTTTGTTGCACACTGTTATGCACTCTTTTCAGAACCTCTAAATAGAAAGCTTGATTAACAGTCCGACCTGGTGGAACGAGCACCAAATGCACTATGCGTCAACAATTTCATCCATTCAGGAAGCTAACAGACATCCAGAACAACGTTTGTCATCAATCAACATTTCACCTTTTTTGAAATGAGAAAACCACTCATACACTTGTTCCCCATAGCACTGGCCTTGTAAGCTGTGTTCAACATCCCAACAGCGTCTGTGGCGTTTTTCCCGACAGGAAACACAATTTCACAGTCTCATGCTGTTCTTTTAAATTGCACATCACATAAAATGAGGTTAGAGAGAAACTGCTTTTACAAAAAATTCACTGTGACCAGAGAGAACCTCCCAGGCGACGTCACTGGTGCACTAACTTAGAGAAAGTTGGGAAAAATACCTGCCACATAAGCTCCATTCCGCCCAGCCCAATTCTGTTTCTATTCTGGGTACCCCTCTGGTACACACATACCAGAAATATGTTCACCTGTGCTTCATTGACTATTAAAAGACACTCAACTGTGTTGATTATGTAGCCAATTGTGAATAATATTGTGAAGAATGGGAACTTTAGAACATGTGCTTGTGCCCCTTGTGAAACCTGTACGTACACCAAGCAGAACAAGGGAAAATGATCCTTTGTGATTCAAAATCAGGAAAGGTTGTGCATCCAGGTTTCCTCTTTTCACCATGCCTATTCAATCTGTATGCTGGACAGATGACCCCAGAAGCTGTACTCTGTGAAGAAGAACCTGCTACCAGGACTGGACAAGGCTCATTCACAACCTGTGACAGGCAGATGGCACAAGCTTGTTTGCTGAAAGGGACGAGGACTTCAAGCATTTACTGATGAAGATCCAAGACGACAGCCTTCAGTTTGTGTTACACCTCAACATAAAGAAGGAAAAAACTCTCACAACTAGACCAATAAGCCATATCCGGATAAATGGAGAAAGTACTGAGGTGACCATGGATTTCATTTTACTTGGGTCTACAATCAATCCTCATGGAAGCAGCAGTCAAACAATATATTGCATTGGGCCAATCTGCTGCTGCAAAAAGCCTCTTTGGAGTGTTTAAGATACCATTTCACGCTCCAAGGTGTTCCTGACCCGAGCTATGGCGTGTTCAGTCGCCTCATGGAAATGTGAAGCTTCACCGTGAATGAGGAAGACGGAAGAAGACTCGATGGTGTTGGCGTAACATATTGAACAGCCAGGAAAATGAACAAGTCTGTCTTGGAAAAAGTGCTGCCCCAAATACTGCTTGGAAGTGAGGCTGATGAGATTTTGTCTTAGGACCTATTGTCAGGAGGGACTGTCCTTGGAGAAGAACATCATACTTGGCCAGCGACCCAGAGGAGCCCTTCAATGAGGTGGATGGACTGTAAC